AGCAAATATGCTGCTCTCTCAGTTGATGGTGAAGATGAAAATAAGCGGGAAGATTACACCAACAACATCCTGTGCTTTCTCCTCGTCCCTTTCTACCCTGGAACATTCAAGAGCAAATCAAATCTCAATCAACAAAGAGCAAAATAAAACCCATCATATCCTTGGGGGGTGGGGGGAGAATCACAGATACCCAAATGCATCCTCTTACATAGAAAACACGCTACTTCCCATCCACTGGGATCTCTCTGTGCTGTTCTGAAAGAAACCTCCTCAGCCTATGACCACAAAATTTCAGTTGGTACCCCTTCAGCCTGCTTCCTGCCCGGCAGGAAACCAGCAGAATCCCTTCTGCTTCAGAGTCCCATTTCCCCAGAGCATGGGTCCCCAGCTCTCCTGGTCTGTGACCTTCTGCCCTGCCAGACCACCAGTCCTGGCTGGTTTCTAGCAACCTGGATCCTAAGGATTCTGGGTCATCATGACAGTTTCTGGAGATGAACTATCCCCCTCCCAGGACCATCCCCTTCCTTCATTCTCACCCTGACATCCTATCCTGTGTCTATCACCTGCTAAGGCTGAGGTCTTTGGTCTATAAACCAACTGTCATTGAGTCGATTCTGACTCATGGTGACCCTGAGTGTGCCAGTGAAGAACTGCACTCAAAGTTGTCAACGGCTGATTTTTTTTGGAAATAGACTGCCAGGTCTTTCTTCTAAGATGCCAATGGGTAGATTCAAACCTCTAATCTTTCAATTAGTAGCCTAGTGTGTTAACTGTTCATACCACTCAGGGACTCCTTCAGTCTGTAACCACTAATAAATTCCTTCAGCCCTCACCCCTTTAGGGCCTCCACTGATACAAGTGTTTGATTCTTTCAATTCTTCAGGAACTCAAAGGCAAAGCATGAGCTGGTCTTAGAGCAGAGTTAGGAAAACCTTTTGATCTTCCCTAAACCACCACAGAGGCAACCCCTGGCCTCTGACCTCTGTCAGGAACCTTCAATCTAGTCTAGGATCTGTCTGGATCCTCAGGAAGCCCACATCACCTTGATCTTGGCTTTCCTGAATTAACATTCTCCTTGACCATGACCTCTCCTGGGAGCTTTGTCATTCTGGAACTCAGGCCCAAGGTAAGTACCTCTGCCTTAAATTCTTGACCTGGTCTGAGGTCACTTTGGGCTCTGTTCTTTCACCTCAGTATTTATTTTGGTTGCAGAAAATATAGCCACCACTGTGCTATACAAAGTCTGGGGGCAAGTAAGGAAACAGCTGTTGGCTGAAAGGGGCTTCATGCCAAGTAAAGTAAAGTTAGGGCTGGTGAGGAGAATAAGTTACACTTGTATATTTGCACCTGCTGTTTTCTCCACCTGGAAGGCCCTTCCTCCTCCAGTGGCAAACACATGCCTAAACCAAAAACCAAACTCACTGCCATGGAGTCGGATCCAACTCATAGAGACCCCTCCTTGGGTTCCAAGGCGGTATCACTATGGAAGTAGATTGCCCAACCTTCCTTCCAAGGAGTGACTGGTGGGTTTGAACTGCCAAGCTTCTGGTTAGCAGTCAAATGCCCTAGGCACTACGCCACCAGAGCTCCTAAACACATGCCTAGGCAACTGTTACAGATTGAGTTGTGTCCCCAAAAAGATGTGTTGAAGTCCTAACCCCCAGGACCTGCAAATGTGACCTTGTTTGGAAATAAAGTTTTTGAACATGTTATCAATTAACTTAAGGTCATACCAGGGTAGGGTGGGTGCTAATCCTATATGAGTGGTGTCTTTATAAAATAGAAGAGACACAGAGGGAAGACAGCCATGTGACTAGGGAGGCAGAGACTGCACGAGGCAGAGCTGTAAGCCAAGGAATGTCAAGGACTGCTGGGAACCACCAGAAGCTAAGAGAGAAGGATGAAAGAGATTCTCCTTTGAAACCTTCAGAAGGAATCAATAGGGCCAATACCCTGATTCTGGACTCCCAGCCTCTAGAACTGTGAGATAACACTTTTCTGTTCTTATAAGCTCACCCAGTTAGTGTGATGCTTTGTTTCTGCAGCTTTAGGAAACTGATACAGCATCCTTTCACATTTTCAACTTTATGCTAAAACTTTACCTGTGAAGCCTTCCCTGACCCTCCTGGAAGAATTAATCAGCCCTTCCTCTGCAAACTTCCCTTTATGTCATGCCACTGATCACAGCATCCTGTGGGACCTGGTTGAATGGGTTGTAGTCCATACCTCACTGTGAGCTCCCAATGCCAGGGGCAGGCCATACGTCCTTATATTCCCACCACCTGGCACAGTATTTAGGTTGGTGAAAGTTCACCATAGTCAGAGAAAACTTTCAGAATCAGAGTTAGACTGATGCTGGTTCAAGGTGAAGGGGTCAGAGGTATAGAAGTGGAAGAAACACTTCTTTTTAGGCTAGACATAGAGAGCAAAGATATTCAGAGATGTTGAGAGAAGGGACATGTAAGTCACTCTGTCCTGCAACAAAGTCAAACTCTGATGCTAAGGCTCCAGAAAGAATTTTACTATTGCACTAATTCAGTAAGTCTATTCTGATCACTTATTTCATTAAGTTTATTCAATCTGTATGCTGAGCAAATGATCTGAGAACCTGGACTCTATGAAGAAGAACATGACATCAGGATTGGGAGAAGGCTCATTAACAAGCTGTGATATGCAGATGACACAACCTTGCTTGCTCAAAGTGAAGAAGACTTGAAGCATTTACTGAAAGCAAAACATCTGCACAACTGGATAAATAAGCAACATCACAATAATGAAAAAAAAAAGAGACTGAGATTGTCAAGGATTTCATTTTACTCAGGTCCACAAGTAATGCCCATTGAAGCAACAGTCAAGAGTTCAAATGGCCTATAGTTTGTTTTCCACTAGTTAAAGAGGGAAGTCCTTCAGATCAGCTTTTGGAGACTTACAAAATGTTCAAAACGGAGGCTATTTCATCAGTGGCCAACAGAACTCTCAAGAGTATAGGATGTGAAAGATCTTACATACAATGCAATCTTACACCCTGGACTGGATCTTCTAAGGGCAGTCACGATGCTAAGTTTAAACCTAGTGTTGCCCAAAGGAATGGTCTATGATAATGCAAACGTTCTAGTTTGCAAAGTCACTAGCCACCTGTGACTACTGACTACTTAAAATGTCACTAGTGCAAATGAGGAAGTAAATTTTTTATTTTAATTCAGCCATGTGTAGAGAATAAGGAGCCTAAGTGCCACGAGTACTTCATGATCAGCTGCTAACCTAAAGGCTGGCAGTCTGAACCCACCCAGCAGCTCCATGTTTTGAAAAAAGGCCTGGTGAACTTTCATAAAGAATGTTGTTAGGTGCCATCAAGTCGATTTTGACTCACAGTGACCCTATAGGACAGAGTAGAACAGCCTCATATAGTTTGCTAGGCTGTAATCTTTATGGAAGCAGTTTACCAGGTCTTTCTCCTATGGAGCCACTAGGAAGGTTTGAACCACCAACCTTTCAGCTAGCAGCCAAGTTCTTAACCACTGTACCACCAGGATTCCATCTGTAAAGATTACAGGCAAGGAAACCCCATGGGCCAAAATGTAACATACGGGTCACCATGAGTTGGAGGCCAACTTGATGGAAGCTAACAACAGCAGCATATAAAGAATGGCTAGATACTAATCAACACAGCTCTGTTACAACTGCTTCAGAGTAAAACTCAGGGAAGGGAGACCACTGGATAAATGAACTCGTAAGACTTCATGAATGTGCCCAACACAAAGAGGAAAGGAAGCAGCTGGCCACTGCAGAGGGCAACCCAGAAGGTAATGTGCCCTCTCTGGACACTGAGGCACTCCGGCTTTGGTTCTAGAACAAGTGCAACAGCCCTGGGTGGCCATTCCTGTCTTGCAGGTTGCCCTGGGTCCTGGCACTCAGTCATATGACAAATATTTTGGTGAGTACTCATTCTGTGCCATTCCTCCTGCACTGGGGTGCTGGGACACAAAGGTAAATAAAACTTTCTTCCCTTTGGAAAGGAACCCTGATGGCACAGTGGTTAAAATGCGTGACTGCTAACCAAAAGGTCAGCAGTTTGGAGAAAGATGTGACAGTGTGTTCTGTAAAGTTTACAGCCTTGAAAACCCCATGGGCGTTCTACTCTGTCTTATAGGGTTGCTAGGAGTCAGAATCTACTCGACAGCAACAGGTTAACCCTCAGAAAGTGAAGGATGAGAAGAACTTAAATAGCAGGAAGGAAGGTTGATGAAGGAGCCTGGGATCAGATTACAATTAACAATTAATTAATTATGAGGTGCATACGTGGCAGAGATCCATCCTCCAATTATTTCATGGTTTCTCTCCCTTACATGGAATTGTAGCTAGGTGACTGCTCAACCAGGGCTATATTTCTCAGCCCTCCTTTCACCTAAATTGGCCATACAACCAGTTCTCAACAATGGGATAATAACAGATGTGAGCTGCACCAATTCCGGGCCAGGGCTATTAAGAAGATCAGGCTTTGCCATTGCCTCCTTCATTTGGTAGCTAGAGGCAAAGGACTCTGCCAACCTTCTCTAGACTATTATCTGAGAGAGAAAAAACTTCTACTGTGTTAAGCCACTGGTATTTGAGGTTTGTTTATTACAGCAGCTGCTTGTGTTATCTTAACTAATACAATAAAGTTACACTTTGGTCTTTTTATATGCTTATATATAAGCATAGAGATACATGATACAGGTACTGAGAAAGTGGTCTTGTGTGAAAGACTACATAGGATCAAAAAAGTAGCGGCAAGAATATCCCAGAAAAGTATTACAGGGATCCAGTTAAAGAAGGGAAAGAGAAGAGAAGGCCAGAAGGAGAACAGGATCCTCTAGGACTGGATCTGCAGGGAGGTGAAGCCAACACTGAGACCTCCAGGCTGGAAAATGGGTGGATGATGACCCTAATATTACTGAGACAGGGACAGAAGAGGAGGAATAGGCTAGAACCAGAAGCTGTCACTGTTCATGTCAACTCACCTGGGTAAGAGCTGTGACCCTGTTCCCCATGTCTGGGAGAATGGGGGGCTCGTCGCCCACTTGGAAATCAAAATAGACCGTCTTATGAGAGAAGGTGGAGAACTCGTTGCTGAAGCAGAACTGATAGACACCCTTGACCTCTGCCCGGTGTGTGAAGCTATCGTATTGCTTCTTGGTTTCCCTGTAGATGGTGTTCCCCAAGGGGTCTTCCACATAGCAGTCAACATCATAGTGGCCTCCAGTGATGACCTGACAACCACAAAAGACACCCAATGTGCTGTTATGAGGTAGGCAGCCACCACTTACTAAACTGACAATCTTTTTAAAACTTGTTTTTACTTAATCTTCACAACTTTCTAAGGGAGATGCTATTGCAGAGGAGGAAACTGAATTTGAAAGAGGTTAAGTAAATTGGCCATTAGATGCCTTTGCTTCTTTACTTTTGTTCAATACCCAACACAAGACATGAAGCAAGTCACTTCTTTAAGGTACTGCCACTCATTAACTCTGTGACTCTAGACAAGTCCCTTTACTCATTTCATGAAGATGTATGTCTTCATCTATAAAATAGTAATAATAATAGTATCTCCTTCATAGGGCTGGGGTGAGGATTAAATATGATATTCCATTTAAGTGCTTAATGCAGTGTCTGACATACAGCAAATGTCAACCAGTTACTGAACAGCCTTTGGCTGCAGACTATCCCTCTGTGGTGATGGAGAGGTGGGATTTGGTCTGGGCCATCCTGGAGCACGCCGGCCGCTACCTCCCAATAAGATGCACAAACTGGGTATAAAGCCCACTCAGTCCCCAAACTTAGATCTATGGGCTAAACCTCAAGAACAAATCTCTCACCCTAGGCATATTCCCTGCCACTGTGAGCCATGAGATCTATCAAAGACATAGGAGTGCAGGAGCTGAATGCTTCTCCGAGCCATATGGCTGGCCATAGCCAGATCTTATGGCCACACCACTTCTATAAACACTGCCAGCGCTCAAGGGTGGTACTGAAACTTCCCCAAAGCGCCCATTCTCATCACTGCTGTGCTCATCCGACATTTACACTTTTGACATTTACACTTTTGAGAGGGAAAAAAAATAATGAACCCACTTCCTTTCGCTGCCATTTTTCAGTACCCATACAGACAAGGTGGGCTGAAACCTGGGTCAGACTGAAAGTTTGTGTTCAGCTGTTTTTAGACTGGAATGAGCCTGAAGCGATCAATCTGGCCAATTCCCCGGGAGATGACACTCGCCCAGGGCAACCTCTTAGCGGGCACGCCCCTTCGACGCCGACCACCTCCCGAGTCGGCCTGGTTGGCCTCTCTGATGGGCTCAGAATGATCAAGAGTCTTCCTCACGGGGAAGCCAATTGGTCTCCGGAGATCCCTACCCTTTCCGCCGCCTTGGCTAATTCCAGCTGCTTTAATTATGCAAGGGCGCGTCACTGCCCAAGTGGGGGATGAAAGAGGGGCGATGCAGGGCGCCTGGACCTCACCTGGTAGTCGAGGGAGAACTTCACGCCCTGTTCCACTTCCTCGTGGAAGCACTGTTTGGCGTTGTCCGGTAGCTCGAAGGTGAGTTCGGCTCCCAGAGAACGATCAGCGCAGAGCAGCAGCAGGAGCACGGGAAAGGCGGAGCTGCGAGCTCCGCGGCCCATGATGCCCCGGTCCTGTCTCGTGGCCCGCAGCTCCAGCGATGAGCCCCTTGCCAGCTGGAGTGGCAGAACCAGGATCAAAGTTGTGCGGGGATTGACGTGGCGGGAGCCGGACTCTGCGCTTCCGGGAGGACAGGCGGCCAGCAACTCAATGCGCAGCCGCACGCTCTGGGGTGGGCCTGGAACCCGGGCCCGGAGCTTGAGGCGGTCCCCCTCCTTACGCCTGCTGCGCTTGCGCACGGACCGAGCCTGGTAAGGGACACGCCCCGCCCCGCCCTACTGTGTAATTTTGTAGATCTCGGCTGAGCCCGCGGACAGCGCTCCTGGGCGCCCCTCCCGAGGAGGTTGCCCCACCACCCTAAACCCTACCAGACTTTCTCCTGCAGCCTCTGAGACTCACAGGGTTGAGCATCGACCCAGTGTCGGCCTAGATCCACTCAGCCTACCTTCCTTAACTGCGGCAGGCACGAACCACGCGGGTTTTAACCACGTACAGACTTGGATTACTTTCGACTAGCACTAAAACTTAACTCTCACAATTCTCCCGAATTATCCATCTCCTTATGTAGAAAATGAGTATGCCCAAACCTACCATACACAGTTTGATTAGAAGGCTAGACAGCAGAAAATGAATATAACACAAACACAACCACTGCCTTGGAGTCGGATCTGACTCATAGCGACCCCTCTTTGGATTTCTAAGGTAGTATCACCACCGAAGTAGATTGCCCAACTTTCCTTCCAGGAAGTGGCTGGTGGGTTTGAACCGCCAGCCTTCTGGTTAGCAGTCAAATGCCTTAGGCGCTATGACACCAGAGCTCCCATCTTCCTTTCAAGGAGTGGCTATGGGGTTTGAACTGCCAGCCTTCTGGTTAGCAGTCACATGCCTTGGGCACTAGGCCACCAGAGCTGCCCCAGTGGGTGGAAAGGAGCCCTGGTGACTCAGCGATTCAGGTGGTAAGGGAAAGGTCAGCAGTTCAAACCCACCAGTAACTCATGGGGAGAAAGATGTGGCTATCTATTTCCATAAAGATTAAAACCAAAACAAACCGAACCCACTGCCATTGAGTTAATTCCAACTCATGTTGTTGTTGTTTTGTGCTGTGGAGTGGGACCTGACTCATAGCGACCCCTCCTTGGGTTTCCAAGGCAGTATCACTACAGAATTAGATCAAACCCACCAGCCACTCCTCGGAAGGAAGGTTGGGCAATCCTACTTCCGTAGTGATACTGCCTCGGAAACCCAAGGAGGGGTCGCTATGAGTCGGGGCCGACTCGACGGCACATAACAACAACAACAACAACATCTTCCTTCTGAGGAGTGGCTGGTGGGTTTGAACCGCCAGCCTTCTGGTTAGCAGTCAAGTGCCTTAGGCACTATGCTACCAGAGCTCCCAATTCCAATTCATAGACCACTGATGAGTTTCTGGGGCAGTAAATCTTTAGGGAAGCAGATTGCCCCATCTTCCTTCCTTCCGTGGAGTGGCTGGCCTGGGAAACCCAATGGTATACTTCTACTCTGTGCTACAGGTTGGCTATGAGTTGGACTTGACTCCACAGCTATGGGTTAATCTGTATGGAAGCAGATCGCCAAGTCTTTCTCCCTGAGAGCTATTTTGTGGGTTCAAATGGGAGAACCAGTAAAGTCCCATAGTTGCATGGGCTCTGGGGAAAATAGATATGCTTTCTTACACACACTGTAACGAAAATGCAAATAAAACTTTCTTAGTGCCTTCAGACATGTTTGGCAGATAGGAAAAGCTGAAAATTCTTCTTGAAATTTTTTTTTTTTACTTTTACTTTTTTTTTTTTTTTTACTTTGACTTCTCAAAAGCACTAAAAGTAGATATATTGATTTACTGTCTTTTCCTTTACTATTGACCTGAGATTTTCTTTTTTTTTTTTTTCCAGGAAGATGTTTGCCTGTGTTTCATTTCCTTTACTATGTGAAGGCGTTTGACTGTGTGGATCCTAACAAATTATGAGTAACATTGCAAAGAGTTGGAAGCTCTGGTAGTGTAGTGCCTAAGGCATTTGACTGCTAACCAGAAGGCTGGTGGTTCATACCCACCAGCTACTCCTTAGAAGGAAGGTTGGGCAATCTACTTCTGTAGAGATACCATCTCGGAAACGCAAGGAGGGGTCGCTATGAGTTGGATCCGACTCAATGCAGTGAGGTAAGGTTTTGCAAAGAATGGTTATTCCAGAACATGTGATTGTGCCCATGAGAAACCCGCACATGGACCAAGAGGCTGTCATTCAAACAGAAGAAGGGGATACTGCATGATTTAAAATCTTGACTGCTGCTTCCCTGGGCATTGATTTTGGATCCAAGAAAAATTAAATCCTTGACAACTTAAATCTTTTATCTGTTTATCATGATAGTTTATTAGTCCAGTTGTGAAGATTTCTGTTTTCTTTATGTTGAGATGCAATCCATACTGAAGACTACTCTTTGATTTCCATAAGTAAGTGCTTCAAGTCTTCACTTTCAGCAAATGAGGTTGTGTCTTCTGCATATCACTAATTGTTAATGAGTTTTTCTCCAATCCTGATGCCATGGTCTTCTTCATATAGTCCAGCTTCTCCAATTATTTGCTCAGCATGCAGATTGAATAAGTATGGTGAAAGGATAAAACACTTGAGGTACACTTTCTCTGGTTTTAAACCATGCAGTGTCCCCTTGCTCTTTTCAAACAACAGCCTCCTGGTCTATGTACAGGCTTCTCACGAGCACAGTCAAGCATTCTGGAATTTCTGCTCTTCGCATTGTTACCATGATTTGTTATGACTCACACAGTCATAAGTCTTTGCATAGTCAATAAAACACAGGTAAACATCCCTCTGGTATTTGCTTTCAGCTAAGATCCATCTAGGAGCTCTGGTAGCGTAGTGCCTAAGGCATTTGACTGCTAACCAAAAGGCTGGCAGTTCAAACCAACCAGCCACTCCTCGGAAGGAAGGCTGGGCAATCTACTTCCGTAGTGATACTGCCTCGGAAACCCAAGGAGGGGTCACTATGAGTCAGGTCTGACTCGACGGCACATAACAACAAACAACAACAAGATCCATCTGACATCAGCAATGGTATCCTTCATTCCACATCTTCTTCTGAATCTAGCTGAATTTCAGCTGATGTCAGCTGTTAATATACTGCCGCAAAAGTTTTTGAATTATCTTCAGCAAAATTTTACTAGCATGTGATATTAATGATATTGTTTGATAATTCTCACATTCTTTTGGATCACCTTCCTTTGGAATGGGCACAAATATGGATCTGTTCAGGTCTGTTAGCCAAATAGCTATTTTCCAAATTTCTTGGCATAGATGAGTGAGCACTTCCAGCATTGCATCCACTTGTTCAAACATCCCAATTGGTATTCCATCAACTCCTGGAGCCTCTGAGAATATTTTTTATGTAGTCATAACTATAGGATTTTATATTCAATTTACTTAAAGCATTTGACTGCTACCAGAAGGCTGGCACTTCAAACACCAGCCACTCCTCAGAAGGAAGATTGGGCAATCTACTTCCATAGAGATAGCACCTCGCAAACCCCAGAAGGTGTCACTATGAGTCAGAATCAACTCCACAGCAGTGAGTTTGGTTTGGTGTTGCATAATCAGATAAATAGACTCAGACTGTGATATCATTACTCAGCAAAGAGTTTTTTTCATCAGAGCATTATTAGATCTATCTAATAACTTAATTTCAACAAAGAATTTTACTCCCCACATGGAAGTTATCTATAGGATGTAGAATAACATACATGTGCAATATTGTTATTAATACTTACTGGCTCTGTGCCAGACTTGGAGGAGGTAGTAATAGCATGCCTCTAGGCTCTTTCCCTTTCTCTGTCCTGTTTAATTTTTTAAAAAATAAAATAAATAAATAAATGGTAGAAAGCATAAGAAGAGCTCTGGTGACTTAGTGAATAAGGCATTTATTTGATAATCAGAAGACTGGCAGTTTAAACCCACCAACTGTTCCACAGGAGGAAGATGAGGCAATCTACTTCTACAAAGATTTACAGCCCTGGAAATGCAACCCAGGTTGCTATAAGTTAGAATCAACTTAGTGGCAATGGGTTTAGTGGCTTTGGGTTTTTTTTTTTTTTTTTTTTTTTTCGTTTGGTAGAAAACATGTAGGTAATAAGTAAGCAAGTGATAGAAACAAAACCAGAATTACCTTGGCCAGCTGGAGTACCAAAAAAAACAAAACTAAACTCATTGTCGTCAAGTCAATTCTGACTCATAGCAATGCTAGCCTAAAACTAACAAAAAGAAATTTCACCAAGCTAAATGTTAAGTCCTGTGCATTTAAGTTCCAAGAAAACACTGGCATAAATTCAGGGGAAGGGAGTTTGACCAGGCAGTAGCCCAAGTCAGAGCAAGCAGAGGGTTATAACCAGCAGCAAGCTGTATATGAGACAATGGTAATGCCTGAACTGATAAAGGAACCCTGATTTGGACTGGGCTAAGAAAAGAGCAGCTTTGTTTCAGCATCTATTGTGTGGAAGGTAATGTTACTAAAAGTGACTGTCCCACTGTATCAGGCAATGATCAGGTCACATCTATTGTACTATTTTAGGAGGGACATTAATGAAATTGGAGGAGCAGTCACAGGAAGGTAATTAGGAAGGAGACCAGTATAATAAATTACCAGGAAGCCTTCTAAAATGAGATAAAGTCAAAGGGAACAGATTTTAACCTGGAGGAGTAAAAATTAAGGGCTAAAGCAAGTTAGCTTCGAACATTTGCATAAGGACGATCATGACACCTATCATCTATTGAACACTTTGAGTGTACCCCATGTTGTTGTTGTTGTTGTTGTTATGTGCCGTCGAGTCGGCCCTGACTCATAGCGACCCCTCCTTGGGTTTCCGAGGCAGTATCACTACGGAAGTAGGATTGCCCAACCTTCCTTCCGAGGAGTGGCTGGTGGGTTTGAACCGCCAGCCGTCTGGTTAGCAGGCAAGTGTCTTAGCCACTATGCTACCAGAGTGTACCCCATAGTACAGGATATTTATACATTTTCATATTTTACATTAATCAGTCCTCACTAAACAACCATACCAAGTTTGTTTGTTTGTTTGTTTTTGCCCATTTAACAATGAAAAAAAGAAGCTCACAGGAAGTTGAATTAAATAGCATTTCTGTTTCTGTTACCCTTTGCTACATAACAAACTACTCCAAAATTCAGTATCTTGAAACAACAATGATATATTATTATTCATGATCCTGTGGGTTGTCTGGGCAGCTTTTGTAGCTGGGCTCACTCAGGCAGCTACATTATGCTGGAGAGTCATCTGGACTTCTAGGTCCAAGATGGCAGCCACTCAGATATCCAGCACCTGATGCTGGCTGTTGGCTAAGGTTTTTTGGTCCTCTTCTATGCATCCTCTTAGATGACTTGTTTATATAGCAGACTCACAGCAACATTCTAAGAGGACCAAGGCAGAAGCTGCAAGACCTCCTAGAGGCCTAAGCTTCAGAACTTGCTCAGTACCACTTTCAGCACATTCCATTGGCCATAGTAAGTCCCAAGACCAGTCTATTTTTAAGGATCTGGAAAAATGGACACCATCTCTGGATGGAAAGAGCTTCAAAGTCACATTGCATAAACTAAATCCAAACTAGTTGCTATTAAGTCAGTTCTGACTCATGGCAATACCGTGTGTCAGAGTGGAAAACCTCAAGTTTTCAATAGCTCATTTTTCAGAAGTAGATTACCAGGCCTTTCTTTTGAGGTGCCTCCAACCTCAAAACTTGAACCTCCAGCCTTTTGGTTAGCACTGAGCTTGTTAACAGTTTGTTCCACACAGAAACTCTGTAAAAGCCAAAATGAAACCCACTGCCATTGAGTCAACTCTGATTCATGGTAATCCTGTATGTTACAAAGTAGAATTATTCTGCAGGGTTTTCTTGGCTATAATCTTTACAGAAGCAAATCTCCAGGTGTTTCTTCTGCAGTATCACTGGATGAGTTTGCACCACCAACCTTTAGATTAGTAGTGGAGATGCAAACCATCTGTAACACTCAGGGATCTGAGGGACACCACAGGGGGCATGTATTGGGATGGAAGAAATTTGCAGGCATTAAACAGTCTGTCACAGTGCCCAAACTCACTCATCTTGTCAATAGCTAAGCCGAGATTCTGCTTCATTCCAAATTCTACTTGCTTCCTACCAAACATGCCATGTCTACCCATACCTGTCCTACATGGTTTCATATGGCAGAACTTAGACCAAAGCATGAATCTGACACTGAGGTACATTTTAGCTCAACATAAGAAATGACTTTCTGGCAACTAAAGCTTTCCAAAAATAGAATGGACAAGGGTAGTACCTTTTTCATTTCCCAAAATATTTAAGTGGAGACTGGACGAACAATGAACCATATGGGATGCTATAAAGATGACTCATGAACTTAGTGATAGATTGTAATGGTCATGACCCCTAAGGTTTCTTCCAACCTTTATATTCCATGACATATAGTAGAAGGTACTAACTGCAGAAAGACTTAGAAGAAAAAACAAAAAAATTACCCATTCACTTTAGTTCTGGGGTGACTTCTATGAAGGCCTTTTAAAACAGTAAATAAAAATGATGCTCTTACTAGTAGCAAAGTTCAATGAGACAGAAAATAACAAATGCTGACTAGGATGTGGAGAGATTGGGACTCTCATACACTGCTGGTGGGACTGTAAAATGGTACAACTATTGTGCAAAGCAGTATGGTGATTCCTTCAAAAGTTGGAACTAGAAATACCATTTGACCCAGCTATTCCATTACTAGGTATATACCCTAAAGAAGTGAGAGCCATGACAAGAACAGACATATGCACACCCACGTTCATCGCAGCACTATTTACAATAGCCAAAAGATGGAAAAAGCCTAGGTGTCCATCAACTGAGGAATGGATATCCAAACTATAGTACATACACATGATGGAATACTATGCAACCCTAAAGAATAATGTAGAATCTGGAAAACACCACATAACGTGTATGAACTTGGAGGACATTATGCTGAGTGAAATAAAAGGACAAATATTGTACTAGTGCATTATTGTAATAGTCAAGGAAACGTTTATCTATGGAAGACCATTTTCTTTGTTGGTTACTAGGAGTGGCAGGGGAGGGGAGGGAATATTGTTAGATAGATAGAGTTAAGTTTTGATTTGGGTGAAGAAAAGGGCAGTGTACCAAATGTGAGTAGC